GACTATTGGAAGGGGGGGCTATGAGGGGTCTGGGGTGGCATCCCCCCCACCCTAACCCAGACCCCTCATAGCCCTCCCTTCCGATTGTCCGGCATATCTGATAATCCGGTACTCCCTGGGTCCTAAAGGTGCCGGATTATTGGAAGTTTACTGTACTTGGTGGAACCTTTGTAGATTTACTCACATTGGGAGAAAAGAGAAATCTAGTTGGGAGAATTCCATTCTGTTTCGTGTATAAGCCTAACAGGGACTCTGTTGTTCTACCCTAAATTTCATGGGTTATGGAACATATCTATCCCTTGAATTTGTTTTTTTATTAGCAGCAGCATATGTGTTATAGCAAACAGAGAAGTAAAACTGGAAGAGGTAAATGAGAGTTATCTGATCTGGAGAGAAAAATCATCCTGAAGGAAAATTTCATTTGGGAACCAGAAAAGCTATAGATGACAATGGATGCTCAGCAAGAATACTGGGAGCCCACATAGAAATATTTACAGCACTGTGGACAAGGTTTTCCATTACAAAGAACTGGCATATACATTTGTTCGATTTGAGGGCAATGAGACTAGCATTCTCAAACCTGTGGACAAGACAAGTATACCTTATTTCAGACAAGTTTGTGGTCATGGGACCACAAAAACAGAATAGTAATATAAGAGTCTATTCTGCTAAATAGAGAGAGAGAAAAAATTAAAAATAGATAAAAAAATCTCTTTTCTACCAAAGGTCTGTGTTGTTTGGAACACAAGAATTCCACAATTGGACTTGGTCAGTTGGAAGAAAAATCACTTGAGAGTATAGATCTTAAGGAAAAAAATTATGTGGGAACAAACCTGTTTACCATAATGCAAATATAGTATCCGTTAACATTCTTGATATCCTAAGATAGATTTTACCTCATGACCTATTTTATCATATAGACGTTCAGTCTAGCATGTTCTGTTCATGGGATTGACAACTTTGACAGCGAAAACGCTCCAAAAAAATCACAAACTCAAACAAGGGTGATTTAGAGATTCCTGAATTTTGAGATGTGTGAGGTTGGCAGGCTTGGTGTGGATGTCTGAAATATTTGTTAATTTTATTTGTCCTGCATCCATTACCACCTGTTGTGACTCTTTTTAAATTCAGACTTAAATTTGCAAAGGGTCTGTGAGCTCAAATAGGTATTTCAGAATGTATAGAAAGTCCTTTTTCTGGAAGTGATGACTTTTCTATAAGCCGTATAGAGGAAGATGCAAAAACATGGAGTGAGCTCCTGTTTTCCTTACCTTTTAAAATCCCTCCAGGCAGGACTGGACAATTAACTTTAAAGGACTTAGCAAATCAGTCTTCAGTGGCTCAGTAGAGGGTAAAACAGTGTGAAAATGCGGCTGTTCATTTTTGTGCTCCCCTTAACGTTTTGATGGCAGTTCCCATATAGGTTTTCTATGTAAATAAGATGAATTTGTTATACTTTTCTTCCCACGGTTGCATCCATATCACACAACATTTAAGGTGTTTAACCTCTGAGGGTTTGTGGGGTGTGTTTGTTTTCCTGCTTTTGGTTCTCATAGGGAACTCTCTTCTGTTACTTGGCTCAAAAGGTGACCTTCTGGAAATCTCACTGCCCTGAGCATTCTGTTTAGAACTCCAGACCTGTAAGGTTTTCCGGTTCATCCTAGCCAAGTTAGTCAAATCCTTTTTGTCTCTTGAAGGTTGCAGAGATCTCCAGTCCCATTGTTGTCAGTGTTTAGTCCAATATGGCTACTTCATAGGAAGAGAAGTCTTGAGACAAAAAATAAGCAAAGTAGCTACTTGACATTCCAGATAACACCTTTCCTGAACTCCGCTTAACACGTATACTTCCACTGTCTTTCAGCTGCCATGTGCTAAGAACCATACTGTTAAAGGTGAACAGTTTCTGCTTCCCTCAACAAGTGATGATTTCCTTGTACTTAATCTGTTTCTGCTTGTGATATGGACACAGCACAGAAACACCCATTTTTCTTACCTATTAGGCAAAAAAATGTGTTGCTTACTCACTATACAAGCTATTTTAATTCTTAAAAATAATTGACAAAACACTATTAATTTAGTCATGATTTGGAGTTCAATGTGAAGGGGAAATATATATGTAGATTCCTACATTGTAAACTTAGTGAATATTTTAAAGTTTTATTCTATCACAAGTAAAATCTACCAGTAATGTAATTTTAAATGATCCTCTCTGTAACTGATCAATTTGAAATTAACTCAAAAAAACTTCAGTTAAATTAAATGTTTAAAAAGCTCCTCCCCCTGTATTTAAAGGGAAATTATCAACATGAAAACCTAATGATTTTAGTAAACAGTTGAAATTAGTTTGATAGTATCCCAGCAAATTTTGTGAATTACAGTCAGATTTTATAGTTTTAAAAAATGTTTTCTCTCTTGCTATGTGAAAAATAAACACAAACAATGGGGGAAATTGATTTAATAGGGGGAAACAGTAAAATAGAATGTTTACAAAATGCTGTCCAATGCACACTGTAAACATATTAAAATAAGTTATTTTTATTAAACTCTTTAGTTATAGTAATCTTAGTTGCACCAATAATGGATTTTAAAAGTTAATAGAAGTATGATTTGTAAAATTTGACTGTCCACCAGATACTGGTTTTACAAGCTGTCAATTAGGTATTTGTATAAGAATGTTACAGTGGGCTTGAAAAAATGTAATAAACTGAATTAGAATGACTGCCTTTATATTTTAGCTCTTAAATATTCATTAGATTTATGATTGTACAGTATATTCTCTGTTCATTTGCTATCTCAGTTCAGATGTTTGGGTACATTACCTGCTTGCTGGTAATGAAACGTTTGAGTTGGTATAGAAGAATTCCAAAACGAAAACTGTTGGGGAAGAAATTTTCCCTTATGGATGGAGCATTGTCCTCAGCTTATAAGTACATAATTGTAAATACAATTTTAAAACAATTATTTAATTGGAAAATGCAAAAGTCAGTTTGGCAGTTTAAAAATTAAATCTTAAGCTGCTTAAGTTTTATAAAATTAGGCTTCTGGAGTGTGCATCATGAGTGTTTTGGGTTTTGTTTCCTTCGTACAATTTGTTTCTGTTCCTACTGTTAGCTAATTATATTTATCTCTCTTTTCTTTTAAACCAGGATATTTCTGCCCAAGAAAGCAATATATTAGGGGCATTCTGTGATATGAATGTAAGTCATATATATTTCATTGATTCATAGACGTTAAGGCTAGAAGGGACCAAAATTATCATGATCATGTGGTGTGATTTCCTGCACGTCACAAGTCACAAAAACATTCCTCCCCATGCTTCTAATAGGTCGGTAATTCCTAGCTGAGTTGCTGAAATCATCAAATCTTGATTTAAAAATTACAAAGAATCCACCATTTACTATAGTTTAAAAGCAAGTGACCAGAGCCCAATCTGTGAAGAAAGGTGAAAGCCCTCCATAGTTTCTTGGGGAAAAAATTCTTCCCATTTGAAAGTACGGTTATCAGTTAAACCTTGAGCATGTGGATGTCACCCACCAGTCAGGCATTTGAGAGCAAATTCTCTGTAGGAACTCAGAGCCCTGCCTATCTAGTGCACCATGTCAGCTGCTGGAGATATTTGCTAATAGCAGTCTCATCATGCCATCCCCACCATAAATTTATGAAGCTCGGTCTTGAACCAAGTTAGATTTTTTTTTTCCTGTGCACTTCCATTGGAAAGCTGAACCAGAACTTCACTACTCTAATGGTTAGACACCTTCATCTAATTTCAGGCCTAAATTTATTGATGTCTAATTCAGACCTATTCTTGTGCCAACATTGTCCCTTAAACTAAACTACTCTCCCTCCCTGGTGTTCATTCCTCTGATGTATTTATACAGAACACTGAAATACAATTAACATGTTTTCTGAGAGTATAAAATAGTCATGTTTAGTATTGTATACGTCTATATGATCCAACATTGCTTACCTGAACTCTTACCTTATATGTATGTATTTGATTTTTTTGTTTTGTTTTCAGTAGTCACTTGTTTTTCTTTTTAAATAAAATGTTTATATTCTTCTTCATTTTCTGCAGGATGTAGAAGTACCGTTGCACTTGCTTCGTTATGTTTGTCTATTTTGTGGAAAAAATGGCCTTTCCCTCATGAAGGATTGTTTTGAATATGGAAACCCTGATACATTGCCATTTCTTATAGCACATGCATTTATCACAGTGGTATCTAATGTAAGTATTCACCTGAGTTGGTTACACTTTTAAATCAAAATGTAACAAATATAAAGTGGGAGCAGAGTGACTGACTGTAAGTCTGGGAAAATTTAAAGAGGAGGAACCTGGAGAAGGAAAAAGCCACAATTTTCTCCTCACGGAGAGAAAGATATCTAGAGATTGCTCTATCCAGTCATTACTCTGAGATCTGTTGGAGGTATAGGGGCACCTGTAAGATTTCCTTTCTCTTTCCAAACATTCTGGTTGCAGTAAAATTAGTCTAGGAAAGTATCCCTTGATCACAGCTGGCAACTGTGAGCATTGGAATACTGTGGAACTGGAAGACTTTGGTAGTGGGAGTTAAAGCATGTATGTGGAGGTGGTCATTTGTGGTCTAGGAATCATGAAGATGTGATGGGAGGGGATGTCTTGCTCAGGAACGTTCTTGTAAAGGGAGACAGAATTTTGTTCATTAAGTTTAACTGTAAATACTTAATATAACTAATATGAAATGCCATGTAATTATATTCTGATATGACTGCTGTATTTAGTCCTTTGGATCTGATCTTGGTTGTTTCCTTCTTCCATATGCCTGTGTTACTATCAGGTGCCATAAGGTAACTAGAAAGTTGTTCTAAATAGGCAGCTGAGGTTTAGCTTTATAGCAGGGGTTCCCAAACTTTTTGACACGGGGACCAGTAAATCCATTCACGAACATTTGGAGGACCAGTAATGTTCATTTGCATATTCATTAATCAAATGATGAATATTCAAATAAGTTGTTTCTGGTCCTCCCCAGACCACCAGTGCCAGCTTTAGCAAAGCTTTTGATATGGTCACCCACAATATTCTTGCCAGAAAGTTAAGGAATATGGATTGGATAAATGGACCGTAAGACAGACAGAAAGCTGGTTAGACCAGGGTTTCCCAAACTTTTTACTTTAGTTGGAACCCTTTTTTTTCAATACTGCTTTTTGCAGCCCAAAAACATAAACACGTACAAAACAAACTGAGAAAATACCAGACATATAACATGTCTGGTATTTTCTCATTTGGTAAGTTGTATTATTACTAGATGTATCAGTTTGTAGTTTCAAACTGCCTGGCTGGTAAATGTGCTCAGGCTGCATGAGTGTGTCTACCAGCCAGACAGTTCACAACTACTTAAATATGTATGTGTGTGTGGGGGGACACAATAGAATCCCTGGGCCGGACTAACTCATGCTTTGTGCTTTGTGGGGGGGAGGGGGAACAGTGTCCCAAGATCTACATATGGCCGGGTCAGTCCCAGTCCCCGCAGGCTGATTCATTCCTGGCCTCCTGGCATTTGTCTCTCTCTCCTGCACCCTGTCCCTTGGCGCCTTCCCCTCCCAAGCCCCTTCTCCTTCCACTCCTCCCCCTTCATGCAAGCCTGCCGCCTCCTCCTCCTCCTCGCCTCTGCCCAAGCCTGTTTCCTACCTTCTGCCTTCCACATTGCGGGGCTGGAGGCCGCCGGAGCCAGCGTGGCCTCGCCACGTGCCTCCGAAGACTTTTAAAATCTCGGGCCGTGACGTCACATCACTCCCGGGCATCCTCCCTGCCCACGTGCAGTGCCGCACATGGGCAGCAGCAGGCAGTGAGGAGGAGCCACGCACAGCGGGGACGCTCAGGGGGCGGAGTGGCAGGACGCGCGGGGGGGCCTGTTCGGGGGCCCAGGCCCGCTCCAGGCAGAGCCGGGGGAGACACCTAGCTCCACGTATCGGTAGAGCAGGGCCTGCCGGCAGCCACCAGCCATGCTGAGGCCCGGTATTTTTTTCCGCGGGCTGAGGCCCATAGTTTGGGAAACACTGCTTTATAGTAACTATGATTGGAAGAAAGATAGCACTGATGAGTCCACACCACCTGTCCTGTAGGCAGGCATTCTTAGGTAATCCAAATATTAAGCAAGACTACTTAACTTTGGAAGCCCTGGGGGCCACACTGATACTCGCAATACGTGCCGAGGACCGCAACTTAAGTGTGGCGGCATGTACATGCAAATATATAGGCAAATAACTTATTTCACACTGTCGACATGAATACAAAGATTAAGGCAAGACTACACAATACACAGGCCCCATGTAAGTCAGTTCTGCTGATATTAATAAAATGCATATTTACCTGACTTCTACCCATATGACAGCACTTTTAATGACCAATGACAGTCAAGGAATTTTAAAATGCATCTCGACAGAAGAACATTATATTGTCTACTCCAGTGGTCCCCAACCTTTCGAGGTTGTCGGGCGCCAGGGGGCGTGGCCGTTTGCCCGTCGGGCGCCAGGGGGCGGGGACACTTGCGCCCCGGGGGCGGCCCCCCCCATAGCCGCATGCCTGGGGGCGGCCCCCCCCATAGCTGCATGCCCGGGGGCGGCCCCCCCCATAGCTGCATGCCCGGGGCCGGCGCTCCCCCCGCCATGCGCCCGGTGCCAGGCCAGCCCCGAGCACCTGGCGGGTGCATGGAAATGCCCCCGCGGGGGCCCGCGCTCCCCCGCGCGGCCC